CAATTGGTGATGGGAGCATTGTAGAAATAATCCAAAAAAGAAAAAAAATATAAGAATAAGTATTTAGGGCAACAACACTTTCCAGTCTTTACCATAATGATAGAAAATATTAAAAAAAAAACATATTACTAATAAACTTTTTACCTTTTGAATTTTTTATAATTTTAAATTTTATCAAGAGCCCCGAGTTGGACACCCAACTTGTGGCTTGCCTAAGTACTGGAAACCCGGTCAGAAAGACCTTCGAAGATATATTTTCAATCAGAAATTTTGGAAACCATCTAAGAAATAAGAATTACTATATTATTTTCAACAAAAATGTTTGAATTTTGAGTTTTTTTACCCTTAGATTTCACCTTCCAAAAATTAGACAATCTTTATTCAATCTTAGTTTAGAGAGAGTGCAATTTGGATATGTTTTTATATTAAAGTTAGTCTTCACATTCGGTGGAAGTATAAAACCTTTTGGCCAACTTAATAGCAAGTCTTGCAAGCATGGCTTTTCGTTTTGGGAAATATTTTTATGTGACCCAACAACATGTCAGTTCTACGGGACCCCACTTTTTAGCCGTTTGATTATAAGGTTGTTCATACTATAATGTCACATCAAATATTGTTTTATTTTTTATTATTTTTATAAAACAGTATTTTATGAAATTTTTATGAAATTTTGAGCGTCCCATCAAAAAATTAAGGCGAACTTGGAAAAAATATAAAAAATTCATTTTATGTAAAAATAGAAGACCACATTGCCCCTAATATTTTTCAGGGGTATTATGGTAATTATTCATCATTACAAATATTTTTTTAATGTGAGCTCTTGTTATATCCATGCATGCCCAAATTTCGCCTAAAAGCCATTTGATCAAGATCCAACGGTTAAGTGCTAACTTGAGACTTTGTGACTAAAACGATCTCAGCTATCTACCCCGATCTAATGATTGGTACCAGGGATCACATATGCCATATATGTAGATGGGCTCATATAGAAAGCCATCCCATTGATTTTTGGCCTGCAATAAAAGCATTGATTTTTTGGACGTAGGTGCGATTCGAGTGATGCGAAGCCGCTCTCGTTGAGAAGGGTATTGCTGGACAAGGCAAGCGACATTCTAACAAATCTGTACAGAGACAGAGGGGAAAGCTATGGCACCATGCCCGTAGCTGGAGGTGCCCTTTCCGACCTCGTTGGTCGTCCATTGTTCCTCTCTATATACGATTTCTTTCTCAAGGTCTCTCTCTCTACCCACTTTGTAAATAAAATAAAAGAGAAAAATTATATAGGTTTTGTTAGGGTATATCATTTGGTGGTGTATACCCTTAAAGTCCTCAACATACTTAAATACCTTGAATTGTAATTAAGAATTTTTCAAGCAAAGGCATTTTGGTCATTTAGAAGGGTAAAATGTATATTTCTATAAAAAAATAGATTATTTTATTAGTAGTTAAAAAATAATTAATGTATCTTGAAGAGATGTCATTGTCCACTATTGATAATAAATGTTTTTGTTTCTATTAAAAAAATTTATTGTACCCTTGACTAATTGCTTAAAATACCCCTAAACAAAAAATTACTACACAATAGGACTTTAAGGGGCCATTTCGATACTCGAAAATATATTGTTTATGAATATATTACTGGCATAATACACTATTACATAATACATTACCTGTAAATAGATTGTTATTGTTTGGGTAGTATTTAGAAATACATTGCTTTTGTTTGGCTATGTCTGGAAGAAATATAGGAAATGCATTATCAACATTTTACCAGCACATGCCTATAAACTATCATTTCTTTTTTTTTTATCACAAAATTTCACTAAAGTATAGAATTATCATTTCTTTTTTTTTTGTCACAAAATTCCATTAAAATATGGAATTAAAATCATCATCAATCCATTCCAAAAATATTTCTAATAATAACATCATCACTATTCCAAAAAGATTTTCTAATAATAACTTGTACCATTTTACAATCATCATGACACTATTTCTTATTTATTTTACATTCCTTTGGTACTTACATGGAATCACATGTCTTCTAACGTGACATTGGTTTCAACATAATAAGTAATTGGAACAATATGATTGGAATAACATAATTTATTATGATAAGCTTTATTTTTATTTATTTATTATGAAAGTTTTCAAATGTCTCTCTATATAATTTGAAATAAACAATAAATTTATGATACTAAATTCAAAATCTTTATGGAATGAGTTAAAAAATAGGAAGAAGTTTGATTAGTAAACTAGAGGGTTTAGTAATTGCTTTATAATATTTTGAAGTATTGGATGAGACTAAAATGTATGTTATTTCAATTGAGATTTTAATAATATCTTATGAGAATTATGTTGTTTGAAATTTTTATTATGATTGTGTTGTATAATTTATCATTGATTATTGATTTTTATTTTGTTTTTATATGATAACTAATGCCTTTAAATAAGGGGACGAGCTTAAAAATGGAGGGATCACGTATGCTAGTTATTATGAAGAGAAAGGGTTTACAAAGAGATGATTTTTTTAATCAGGGATAGAGTAGACAAAAACACATGCGAAATATTTTCCAAAACTAACCATCTAGATTTTTCACCTATCAGCGAGCGTAATGAATTTCCTAATTTTTGGGGAAATCTAACTTAATTTGTTTCTATTTCCTTACCCAAATAGTAAAAATGCCATATTTTTTTGTAATATATTGTCGCGTAATAGATTTTCAAGTACCCAAACGGCCCCTAACGCTATACACCACGAAGTGATGTAGCCTAATAAAACCCAATTTTATATTATTCATTTTATTTAGGAGATGTAGATTTGACACTAGCTTAAAGCCACACCACTTTTTTATATGGGAAAGGTTTCCCTACAACATAAAAGATCTATGCTTCCCCTACCATCTAGCCGTCCAAATTTAATCGGGGTGCACCTATAAAAAATATTAAAAATAATTTTTCTATAAAATATAATGACCAAAATACCCCTTAGAACTTTCAAGGGTATTTTGGTCATTTTATTTTATTGAAACTATTTTCTTTATATTTTTCGCTAGTGCGAGTTTAATAGAAGATTGGAGTCCAAAATTTTGTGTCAAAATAGTTTATAGAAAAAAAAAATAGTGTAGAGACGTGACATTGTGATTGGGACAATCTTAGCCCTCTATTCAAAATGGACGGTTGGATAAGGCGAAGTATATAAGTTTTATGCTCTAGGGAAAGGGGGCGGTTTGTATAGAGCCTAGGCTCTAACAATCAAATTTGAGCCTACCTTCTAATAATGTCGAAAAATGTCATTTTAATACTGGAAATCTTTGTGATAGCCTTAAAATATATTTTCATTTTTTAGTCATAAAGTTTAAAGCTTCAAAAATAGTGTCGATCGATAGATTTATGAAAACTTGAAAATCTTGAAAATTGACGGTCCAAAAATGTGTTACAAAATACACTATTTTCAATACTTGAAATCCATTTTTTTCTCTTGTCTATGCATCTTGATTTTGAAATGATCATTTTGAGGATATTTTGGCATCAAAACAACCTCTTCTAGTGAAATTTTTGAGGTAGGTTCAAATTTGATTGTTTAGAACCTCGGATCTATACAATCTTTTCCCTTAGGGGAAACATAGAAAGCTTGCCCTTTTCATCTTGTCGTAGAAGACATGTACCAATGTACATCGTCTGCTCTAGATTGCACCCCTACCCACGAAATTCCACTCTCCTCTAACTCACTCCAGTTCATAATTAAAATATAGGAAATTTTTCGTATAGAATCCTAATTCCTTGTATTATTTCATGGTAGACCCTCATTCCATTATTCCTTCAAGTGACATAAAAAAACCCCTAAAGATTTTACCATACTCGATCATCTCTTGCCTCCCTCATCATCTCTTACCTCCCTCTTTTGTTGACTTTTGATAATAAAAATTAGTCCCAACAAATCTTTTTATACAATTTCAACTCAAAAATGTTTTTAATAGGAGGAGAAAGAAAAAGATGATTAAAAAAGTTTTTGAGATTAAATGGGATTAAAAGATTTGTTGAGGCAAATTTTTATAGTCAAAAGTTCATAAAAAGGGAAGATAAGAGATAAGGAGGTACAGTGAAATCTTTAGGGATTTCCTTATGTCGCTTGAAAAAAAAACGGGAGGACGGTCCACCATGAAATAATATGAGGAACTAGAGTTCTATACGAAATTTTCCCTAAAATATATTGTCTTCCACAAATATGATTGCAACCTCATAAATCTCACCTTAAAGTAGTGTTGGGAAAATCCACATGGGCCGACTACTCAAATCCCCAGTCAAGTACTCGCCCAAGTTCGAATAACTCTGCCCAAGTACTGTAGCACCTGGAAATTAAAATAAATTTTTTTTTGAAAAAACAAAAAGGAAAACTATTTTATGTTACAAATATATTTATTTTTTTAGAATTTTTTATAATTTGTAAATTTTATTTAAGGTTCTCTAATTGGACCTTGAACTTGGGCTCAGCAAAGGCCCGAGCTTGAGTAACTCGGCCGAGTAGAAACTACTCAGTCGACTTTTGGGAACGTTGTCTTAAAGTGAATGGCCCATAAATCTTTCCTAAAACAATTAAAGTCCGACAAGTTTTTGGGATTTGGTCTCTCCCTCAACCCATGTCCACCATGTGTTTATATTCTTCAGAATTGTCTTTTTTTTTTAAAAAAAAAGGAGCAATATTAACTCAATTTAGGTGGACCAATGTTTTAAAACCTGCCAATTTGCAATTCGAATAGTTGATCTAAATAAGAATCTGTTGGACCGAACTGATTCCAAAATGGTATAGGTCTCGGCACAGTTACCTCCCTAAACACCCCTCTTATACATTATTTAATTACTTTTAAGGTTATCTAAAGTTTTCTTAAGTCCCCTCCAAATACCCACATCATAAAACTTATTTTGATTTATTTATTTTTAATAATTTTTTGGATCACCGATTCTTGATGAATCGAGACCCAATTTGCATCACCAATCTAATGACGCGACATAGATTTGAGGGTGAACTATCCACCCCACCGATTTGGGAAACACGGGAAAGCTTTCTATGCTCCCCCCACAGCATAGAAGTTCTATCCGCCCCCTACCATTTAGCCGTCCAATTTTGATCAAGAGAGCCACTCACCGTTTGATCTTAGTTCCGACATCTCAAAGTATTTTATTTTTAGTTTTTTATACAAATTGTATGAATATGAAATTTGGTACGTGTCATCTTCTCATTCGGGCGCACTTATAAAAAATATTAAAAATAAATTTTTTGATAAAATATAATGATCAAAATACCCCTTGAAACTTCCAGGGCTATTTTGCTCATTTTATTTTATTGAAAATTTATTTTTTTATATATTTTTTGTTAGTGCGAGTTTAATAGAGGAATGGACGTCCAAAATTTGGTGTCAAAATAATTTATAGAAAAAAATAAAAATTAAAATAGTATAGAGACGTGACATTGTGATTGGGGCAATGTTAGCCTCCATTCAGAATGGATGGTTTGATATAATTTCTATGTTGTAGGAGAAACATAGAAAGCTTGCCCTTGAAACACTAGGGGAAGACTATGTTTTGCCAAAATTATATGGTAACTTTGTGAGCTATGGGTCAAATCCCCTTGTTTGCTAATAACTTGAGTCTCATTCGAGGGAGTTTGAACTTAGAAACTCTCAAATGTCCATATTTAACGTCCAACGGCTAGGACCTACTAGTCTCAACTGTAGAAACCTAGGTATCGACATAGAATCGTTACGAATAAAATGCAAATGATATTAATGATTAATGAATAGAAAAATTTTATACAAGGTTGCAACTTTATACTATAGAAGTGAGGTGCATATCAAAATCCAGTAAAAAAGAATGTGCCGAAGTTGGAAATTTCTAATTGATCATCTCGACTTCTAGATATATGGATATAAATGAAAATGAAATTTAAGTCTAAAAAATAGTGCATCTTAAGATAAATTATCTAGACAATCTATTTTCAAGATTTCCAACTATATATAGATTTGCTTGGTCCACACCTTTTTTAAAATTTTAAAATTTATAACCATGGTGGAACATAGAGTCTGAAGCCATCATTAAGATTAAGATATTGGAACTCCATCTTCCAATAAAATAGGTGCCTTGCAAGTACTTAGGCACGTTATAGTAGTGTTTGAAAAATCAAATTGGAGCGGCTAGCCGAAAATGAATAAAATTATGTTCATCAAAAGGTATAATTTTAATAAGCGAAATATTTTGTTTTTAGAAGAATTGATTTATCAAAAACCCTTAAAATCAAACAACATTTTGAGCAAGAAACGACCTTCAATATTGAGATAATAAAAAAACTCAACACACAAGCATTCTAAAGGCTTCAATAATCTTTTAAACGCACCAAATCTCTTTAAAACATATTTGGTATATTTAATTTTGTTAAAAAATGGGGGTAATTTTAGATCTATGAAATTTTCATGACATCGTGCAACAAAAAAATTCATATAAATTTTTTTAATCAATCGTAAATAGACATATCTATTTTATTTGACAGATGAAACCTTGATGATCAAAATCTACAATTGAATTTAATAAATAAAAAAAAGGCCAATAAATTAATAAAGAATCTGTTTTAATTTTATTTTATCAAACATAGGTTCTTTGAGCAGCAATTTGGTTTTTTGAACAAATTGAAACATAAATATGGTAAATACTTCGATTATCTATTAAATCCCCCAAATTTTTTCAAGAACCATTAGGTATTGAAGAGATTATTGTATGAATGGCGGAAACTTTCAAAAACCTAAAAAATACTTCATTTCAATTCAAAAAACTCTTTTTTTTTCGATGTTTCAATCCAAATTCCTTGTTTTATATATTCTAGATAGTGACTTACAATAATAAAGCACAAAAAAGACAAAAAATGACACTAAATTGAATAAAAAAAAGGTGAAAAATTGGATTCAAGTATGCCTGCTACATGTTACGGCTCCTATTTCAAAATAACGCCCATAACGGGTACATTATCAGTATTTATTAAAAACATTTGTTAATATCGGCTAACCGGTTTGATCAGCAGAAAATCGGCCGATTAGACAAAAAAACGGCCGGTTCGACCCCTAGCTGGTTGGTTTTTGGCCAGACATTTTAGAGGGTGTACCCTATGCTACTATACACCCAAAACCAGCCCTAATCGAACCCAGAACCCTAACGATTCTGATCTAACCAATGTGTTCCGATTCTAGCCGACCGGTTTCTCTCACACTACCTTATACAAACCTTACCCTTCGTGAATTAATCTGATTGCCCAATAACTAATCGTCCAATATTTGGCGTTCCATGGAAGGCACCAACTAGTTTCACGTGGCCCACTCGAAAACGAAAACGACCCTGTATCTTAGATTCTGAAAAGATACATAGGTGATATCGTATGACAATAAGTTCTTTTGAAAAAAATTTTACAAAAATATTTTTTGACTGGTTTCACGTGGCCCACTCGAAAAGCAAACACGACCCTACATCTCACATTCTGAAAAGACGCATTAATGATATCCTTTGACAATAAGTTCTTTTGAAAATAAGATTTAAAAATTTTACCAAAATATTTTTTGAATGAGATTGCTTGCTTGTGAATTAATTCATGGAAAGAAATAGTTATAGGCTTCATAAGAAAATAAATTTATGAGTATGTATAGCATGCTACCGCCGGAGTATTGTGTAGAACAACTCCCTCAGGTAAATAGCTACTTGGGTTAAAAAATTTTATTTGAAAATTGGGATCCAAGTATCGCTAGATGATCGTTATCATTTTTTCTAATTTGAAAATTGGGATCCATCTAAGTATCACTAGATGATCATTACCAAATAAAAGAATTAGAAAAATATCATTAAAGGGGACAAAACCCCTTAAAATATCATTAGAGATGTCAAATTATCTCTAATAACATTTAAGGGCATACTTTGTCTATTCCATTTCATTTATATACCACCTCAAAAAAAAAATCTTTTAAAATACCCAAATTACCCTTATTCAATATTTGAACCAGAAAAAGTGAGGGGCATGTCAATAATTTGACCTCAAAAACTCTTCACCCAAATGAAAAAAAAAATGTCCCTAATTGTTCTGCATTACAAAAAAATATATATATGCTTTTTTCGGCATATATAATGTGAAATAAACATGGGTATTTTTATCATTCTGCACTTAAATACATTTCATATATAAAATGACAAAAACAACCCTAATATGATATGTTCTTTACTTGTAATATGGATCAACTAAGGGTATTTTGATCATTCGAGTGAAGCTTCATAGGTCAAATTACTGAAGTGTTCCCCATTGTTTTTCATTCCAAACACTGGATAAGGCTAATTTAGGTATGTCTAAGAGAAGTTTTTTAAAGATGTATCAGAGTGAAACATAACAGGAAACATATGCCCTCATATATAAATAGAGATGATTCTGATTCCATCAGTAAAAAGCTCCAAAAAGATCGCGCTCAAGGATTTGTCTTGAACACCTTCCTTCCCATAAACCTGTCAAGGGGCCCCGTCTCCAGTTTGATTCTTCTCAGACAAAGCAGGGGAAATGATATTTTAATAGGTTTCATCCCCTTTAATGATTTTTTGTTTTAAATAATTAGATTTTCATGGGTGTGCTAAGTAATTAAAACATGTTTTGCCTAGAACTTTGAAGAATCTTCCATAAATCGGAATGGAGTTTGCTATGGAGTTGGAGTTCGAGGGAGAGAGAGAGAAATTCTTCAATGAGAGTGAGATGAAGAATATTTGCACAAATAAGGACAATTATGTTTTTTTTAGAGAGAGAGAGAGGCATTCATAAAAATCACAATTAATATCACAAAACTAGTATAGAAAATCACAAAAAAAATACTATAAAAAATCACAATTACTTTCATGAAATTAGTATAAAAAATAGAAAAAACACTTTCCCCCTCATTTCTTCACTAGAAATCACAAAATGAGTAATCAAATTTTAGTAAAAAGATTATATCAAAATTAGTATAAAAACTTAGTCTCAGAATTAAGATAAATAGATATTCCGACAAGAAATGATGTCTCAATATTCACCTTTTTTTATAAAATATTAAAAGTCCATTATATACTAGCCCATTTTTTTGGGAATCCAATAAATAATATTTATAAGAATTCTAATAACTTTTTGAAATTTCTTTAAGTCCAATTGGGCTGATCAGGACTGGTTCTTGCGATGAACTGTCTAGGTTACCGATCTGTTTTTTTTTTTTTTTAACATTAATTTGGGCTGAAGACCTGCTTGGGATTTTCACACAAATTGATATTTTCTTATTGAAGTTCGTTGATATTCAAATTGTTGTTTTATTGATTGTAAGGAAATAGTTGCAAAGAATAACGACTTACGAAATTTAGCCCAAATCCGAGACTTATTCATGATGGCCCATTCTATGTGTGGATTTAATTGTTGCAAAGTTCTTGCCTTGTGTGTGAATTAGAGCCATTTGTTAAAATAGAATTAATTATTTCATTGATAAGAAATGAAAAGGTGTGGTTTGTATGAGGTCATAATATTAAACAATTAAAGCAAGTAGCACCACCAAATTTTATAATAAGATATAATTTTGGCGTAATTCTTGAAATCGCCTAAGAACCCATTTTTGTATCGAATTATAAAATTTTAGACTAAAAAAATGGTTCAAATCAAGTGGATCTACAGACATATGACAATCTTAAAAATGGACATTCTAAATAATATGTTGCAAGACACTATTTTTGAGACTCAATTCTTTTTTTCTTTTTTGTTTCATATTCATTGGTAAACAATTAGAAGGTTTTCCAACTTTAAAATAGCCCTTTACCTTGGATTTGTCAAATGCACCTTAATTCTATAGTTTGAAGTTGCAACTTTTTATAAATATTTTCAAGAAATGAATGTACCGCTCATTTTATCTCTCTCTTAAATTTTCCTGCAGCATGGATTAGTATACAAGGTTTCTTTTGGACCAAAAGCCTTTGTCATTGTGTCAGATCCCATTGTTGCTCGCCATATACTTCGTGAAAATATGTTTGGTTATGACAAGGTAAACTCCTTTTTCTTTTGAACACACTAAAATTTCATTTATTTTATGGGCTGTATTTCTTCTTTCTATTACTCTTTAGAATTATGAATATTCTATTATTTGTAAACATGACACACTAAGTTATTTACTGAAGTTATTTTTTGTCTTTTTTCTTTTTTTGTCTTAACCGTATCATAAACAACAATACCAATAGTGCTTTTCCTAAACAAGAGTGCTCTATTTCAGCGTGACATTAATCAAAGCACTATGGCTCAAACATAATTTAGATTCTAGAGAAAGAGCATTAGTTGTAGCACAATGGTTCAAATGTTGTATTGAGAAGTTTGTGATTAGGATTTTTAAATTTCTTGAGAAACTTTCCATGAGGTAATATTGAGAGGGCCTCCGAGATGTACAAAATGGGGTTGGTAACAGATGGGGGAAAATAGATAGCTAGATGTCTCTTTGCATTTTTTCTGTATCTTTAATAATGGTTTCCCAAAAGGCTGTGGTTTGAAAAAAAGTAAAGTCACGCTTCGAAACCTCGTGCAGAAAACACTTTGGGCATGGAAAATATCTATAGTGGCTCCTCTAAATTCAATGTCCACCACTGAACTAAAAAAGGTGCAAATCGTGAGGATCAATGGACACTTGAAAATTGACGGTCAAGATTATGTGCTATAATATACAAAATTTTTATGGCTGGAAATCCTAATTTTTTCACCGCCATAATGTTCAAGGTCATAGGTCATAATTTTTTTACAACCATATCAAAACTATAATTTTTGGTGAGCTTTGATGACCGTTTATCCATAAGGTTTGAGCTTTATTTTAACCTTTTCCAAAGTTAATTGCAATATTGATCGAGGATCAAGAGCTTGAGAGCTTAGCCTTAGAGTGGGCTGTGGGATGGATAAACTCCAAGCAAGTATTTAGGTCCCCCAAAAAGGGCAATCGGGTAAATTCATTAAAAGATTCCATATATAATTGGCTTCTTGGATGACAGTTTCTTTTTTGGAGGAAAGATCGCCTAATAAAATCCACTCCTTCAAATCTCCTAGTTCATTCAATGGCCATTTTCTTTATGCCAAGGTCAATAGTCAATAGTGATGGGTAGAAGGAGATGGAAAAGAAATTGTCATATGTCCCAAATCTTGATGAGTAGTGTTGTTGGATTGTATATCGAAGAAAGCGAAGGGTTTTCTAGAATGACTGAGAATTGTTTTTTTTTTTTTTCTTTCATATGTTCTTATGGCTATGAAACCATATTTAATAGAGAGATGAAAGGAAGCTATTCTCCAACGTTCGGCTTTCTTTCTTAGAATCTCTAAGAAGTGACTCTCAATTTCTAGGAGATAGGAGAGTTATTCACTATGTATTAAGAAGAGAGATTACAATATCTCTATTTTTTTTTTAAAAAAATAATAATTATATAAAACATTTTTATAAAAATATTAAATAGATAAATCAAAAAAATATATGGTAAATGTGAGACCCCATGACCACAAATGTACCTTTATCTCCCACTTGGCCACGAGAGCTGAATATATAGATATCTATTAAAGTTTGTACTGCTTAAGGGATTTAACTTTTATGAGCATATTTTTGTCATGAAGTTGTTATACACTAGTGCAGTTATACGTCTCATGATCCAAAACTTATCCAAGGTCTTATTATGGGTTTTTTTATGCTAATGTGGCTTTCCTCTCATGACCAAGATGTTCCTAAGTCCCATTAAAGTTACATGCTTTGAAAATATTTAAGCATTTAGTCTTTTTGTCAAACGGTCTGCAATTATACCCATTGATGGTAAATAACTATTAGTCATTTTATTCTTTTCAATGATTTAACAACTATAATGATAGTCAATTTTAATGGACTTGCCTTGGAGCTATAGCCTCCATTTCTAATTAATTGGCAGCCTAATTATCACAAAAAATGTTAATTGGTCGGTAGGCTCTATCTAGCTTCAAATCATTTATAAAGCATATATTCCAAATGTTATAAAATAGTAGCAATGCTATAAGTAATATACTCAGCTTCCATAATATGTCGAGCTATACAATTTTGTTTCTTGCTTGACAAAGAAACATATCTGAAGAGGAATTCATGTCCTGAGATTGATTTTCTATCATCTGGGTCTCTTGCAAAGTTTGCTTCAGAGTACCCAATAACCTATAAACTTTCAGCTTAAAAGGTAAAGTAATTGTAGTGATTGTGTTATGAAGGGCAAAGTACCACTGCATAGAAGGCTGTGTTAGACAATATAATGATTTCTTAAATTTGTATACTTGATCTTCTTAACCTTTAATTACATATCCTTCTAGTTGCTTCATATAAACATCTTTTTTTAATTCTCAAATCAAGAAAGCGGTTTTAAAATCCATTTGAAATAATTCTAAATCATAATATGCAATTAATACTACGATAATCCTAATATATGAAAATTTGGTTAGAAAATAAGCTATACATAATATATACCCTTCCTTTCGGTAAATCTCTTAGCTACCAATCTAGCTTTATACTTTTCTATGGATCCATTTGCATTAAGCCTTCTTTTTAGATCTATTTGCAACTAATGAGTTTTTATCCACACTTGATTCCTTTTAATGGAATCAATTTAATCAATCATGGCTTGAATCTACTCAGTTGAGTCATGTAAGCTAGTACTTCATTGCAGCTTTGAGGTTCATCTATGTTATCTTCACTTCTTAGAGAATAATTATATTCATTCATGATTACACAAAATTCCTCTAATGTAGTAGATGGAAATCTAGTTCTTTCAGGTTAATTTGATAAACTATAATGAACCATTCTCTCCAATTGTAGAGCGAGACTGAGTAATAGGGTCTTTTATCTTTATCAATTTCATATAAGTCAATAGGCTTTTAAGGTATATTCATAATCAATATTTTATAAAAAATGAGCATCACGACTCTGTACTAAGGATGTAGTATCATGGTTATAAAATTTGTACTTTTAAAATTTTATAAATGAGTATTTAATAGTTTTATTTTGTAGTTTATCTTTATTTTGTGGTAGTATGAGTACACGTGTCCAAGAATCCTAAATTTTAAAAATATTAATTCCCAGTTCCTACCAGTCCATAACTCATAAGGAGTCAAGTCTATGGCTTTAATTAGAACACAATTAATAATCTACGTTGCAATGTTGAGAGCCTTACTCCTAAAACAAGGTTATAAATCTGAACGACTCATCATAGACCTAACCATATCGATTAGAGTTTTATTTCTTCTTTTAGCTACACCATAATATTATGATGTATATGACATAGTATTTTGGTAAATTACAACATGCTTCTTATAAAACTTGATAAGTAAATTAGAGCACCAGTCATCACCCTTATTCATTCTAAGGATTTTAATATGCATTTCTAGCTAATTTTCTACCTTAACTTTATACTTTTAAAATATTTCTAACACATTTGATTGCTTACTAATTAACTATATATACCCATAACGAGAATAAGTATTTATAAATGTTATGATATATTCCATACCTCTATGTGTTTTTATATTTAATGGCCTATATATATCAAAGGTTTCTTAGCTAATTAAACAGAAATATGATGCATCTGGAAAATACATGGCTCACATGTTTTGAAAACAATTTCTCTTAACTTGAAAAGTAAGCATCTCTTAACCATTTTGTTCCTTTTATCTTTATTTACGTGTCCCAATCCTAAATGTCGTAAATACAAATATGGGCATCAAATGAAGCACAGATATAACCAGAACTAGGGGAATTTTCATATTGATATTTCCCTCATTTCTATTGTTATTGCTCTCATTATTAATAAGATTCATAGGATTTTGGGGAAAAAGAATTTTGAGCAAATTAGAGCTCATTTGACTTTTTTCTCATTCTTCTCTCAGCTTCATTGTTGAGGTGCATGAGAAGATTCAGCATAATGATCTATTGTGCAGAGTGATTCAAGTCAATCATAATTCTCAAGATGGAGAGAGATTGTTTAGGATAATGGACATTTACATGTGATTAGAGGCTGGATTCCTAACAAGCATGTATTGTTATTTTGTTGACATGCTCGGTCACGGAGTCTATTTCCTTCGTCCTACAACCGTTATTGTCACACCCCAAAAATTTTAAATACTGATAGTCCTGAGATGTGACAGTCAAAACAAAGCAATTTTCGATATCTACCATGCATTGATTCAAAATCAAAACCCCTTTTTTTTTCTTTTACTTCAAATCTATATAAACTTTGTTCATAACTAATATTAATATAAAGGTCTAAACATA